AAAAAAAAAAGAAAAAACAAAAAAAATCCCGCAGGCGCAAAAAAAGCATAATAATAAATCCCACTCCTATTACTACAGTTTGCTGTTGTTATGGCTAGTGATTGCTATTGTTGTTATTGTTAGTATTGCTAGTTTTGCTATTCTTCTCCTTCTCCTTACTATTATGACTACTATTCTTATTGTTATTATTGTTATTGTTATCCCGCCCCTCTAACAAAAAGAAAAGGCTCATGCTATCCTGCTCGCCTTCACCAGTATAAATCGCAGAATCCTACAGCATGGAAGGTTTCTTGAGCAAGGAAGTGGAACCTCACCTTGGAGCTCGATGGGGTCACTTCGGATGCCATGTTGCGCCGGAAAACCTGGGCTTAAGGGTTCGCCTTGGGGGTTTAGGATAGAGAGGCGCCAAACCTCTGCAGCGAAAGCATGCGAAATAGGTTCCATGAGGAGCACTCTTCACAAACCCCCTGGTCAATGCAAGGGCTTCCTTGGCCATCACCTGAGGCACCGGCACCAGCCCCAAAAAAGAGAAGCACGGAAGAGCTGAGCACAGCCGAAGGTAGAAACAGTCTGTAAGAGTGTTGCTTCCGATGCCTGTAGGGGTTTCAGTTTCAGTTCCTGGCTAGAGTGGCCAAGGTTCCCACTACTGTTTTTCAAGCCGTCCATGAACAGGTCGAATCAAACACCAGGCGCCGATGCTACAGCCACGACAGATCTCGAGCCAACGGCTGAAAAGTTGGAGCTGGTTTGACAAATCTCATCTCGTCCAGGTCGTTGTGAAGGCGCTGTTCCAAGTCCGCTTTAGGTGGTCATAGTCACCTGCTCCGTTTCGGGACTTCCGAGGACGCGGATCGCTCTCTTCGTCTCTCTGCAGGCCTCTCTTTCGAGGCCCGGAGTTGTTGAACCAATGGAGCTGCGATGGCGGCCGAAAGAAGACTCAGCCTCTACCAAACCGTTGCCTGTCCTCGCCACCTGGTCTATGGAGCCATCGCAGAGAATGACAGATGTCGCCTCTGCCCGTCTGTAGCTCTTTCTAGAGTCGGCAGTCGGGTGGAATTGCCAGATTGATCATATCACGTCATATTCATCGGCATCGTACGAACGAAGGTTCAACAGGCTTCCAGCTGGACTTCAACTCACCCTGTCCGGGAGACTTCTCGTGGTAGCCGGTCCCGGGTGACGGATCCATGCACCCGCCGGCTTCCACCGTAAACATGCGAGATTTGTCAGACTATTCAACACCATGCTTGAAGACATCGGCGCAGCCCCAGGAAAAGCTCAACGCCTTAAAACGGCCTTCAAGCTGCAGACTAGCTCAGTCCATCGAGCCCGCCGCATGGGCGAGGAAGCCAATCGTCAACAGCACCTGTTCCAAGGTCACGCTGTGGCTTTCTTCTGCGAGGTGGAGTGATGCCCGACCCGGAATGCGGTTTGTTGTCGCGAAATGCTTCGATAGTGACGACTATTGTACAGGCGGGCTCATGTCAAAAGCATTGCAGTTCGCTCATGTGGCACAGAGCGTCCGCCGAGAGAGTTCGTTTGATGTTGCAGTTGCTGCAGTCTGCCAGGCAGAGGCAACCCTGAAGTAGCCCGAATGACACGGAAGGCATGAGGGAAAAAAGTAAGCACGAGCGAGCTCATGACCCAATGCAGGTCATGCCACATGTGGGGATTTTGCTGCAGCGGCGGTGGACACGTAACCCTCGTCCGTTGGATCGAGGTTCCTGAGCACGATGCACATCACACAGCCAAACTCACAACTCTCAGACGGTTTCTCCGGCAACCTCCTTTGAACTCCCGGGAGACCCTGAGCTCTTCTTTGGCTCATGGCTCTGATTGTTGCTCTCCACAGCGGCCATGACATGAGCGGCAACCGCCCCAAAGTGGAAGAGGGCGAGTGCCTGTCATCTTGTTCTGTATACTGCATACATGTTTGCATTCATCGGCGACTTTAACATTGCTAGTGTTGTGTTTCTTTGGGATGTGTTTGGGTCCAGGGTGGGTCGCTAAGCTCTTGGACTCTAGAGAGGCAGGCATCACCTGCTGCAAGGTTCCTCGATGCAGAGCGGCATTCAGCGGCAGTACCACGCAGTACATCCTTCTGGCGAAAGGGTCATTGCAGAAGACAAAACTCATCATAGTATCTTCAACCATGGATAACAGTAGCCACCAAAATAGGTCTACTGTCATTAACATGACGACGCTACAGATCTGCAGCAAGCTGCACTTCTGCTTGGGTTGGGCTGCGTGGCCAGCCCGAGAAGCATCCACGAACTGAAGTGCAACATCCCGATTTGAGGGCAATCATTGCTGGGGATAGCTCTAATGTTACTGCTTTAGTTCCGATTCTTATCGCTGCTTTCGCTTTAGTGAGAATCGCCATGTCTAGCCGACAAACATGTTGGAGGAGGTGCTGCCAGTGCAGCAGCCGTTGAAACATTACGCCAGAGCTGCTCCCGAAAAGCCACATCTGGATTCGGTTGTTGTGATTTGTTTTGTGGAGTCTGTACAGCTATGAGTCCGGTGCTCTTTTCGGAACTCCTCTCTTGCAGGCGGCACTAATAAAATGCATTACTGTTTCTGTGGCTGCGACTCTTGCATGCGTTGCTGTTGCAACTGCTGGTGTTTGTTGTTTCTGTTGTTGTTGCTGTTGCTGCTGTTGCCTCGGATGAGATATAGGGGAGGATAGGAATAATCCTCGGACGGGGTGACTGGTGGTAGTATTACCCCAAAACGGGCAAGGCTTCTGCTAACTCTGCCTGCGAGACGGTCCGCCCGACTTCAGAGCGCAGCTGGCCCTTCCAAATGACCTCGATTGGTTTACGCTTTAGCTGTCTTTGATCAACATTTAGGATTCAAGGCTCACCGTCTAGACTTGCAGAGAATGCCAGTAGCAGCAATACTACTGCCGTGCCTGAAGCAGACTTACGAATTTGGTCGACCAGCCACTGATTGCTAGAACAAACAACAAACATACGATCATGAAGGACAACATCTGATCAGATCTTTCCCATCTCAAGTCACAGGTTCGGCTCCCAAGGCCCCGACGAGCCATCCGAGGAAGCTCAGCCCCAGCAGTCCCGCTCCATGCCAGCGCCGGTAAAGCTTGGCGACGGGCCGGACCTCACATCAGGGGCTTAGGCTCCATGGACTCTATGGGTTTATGACGCAAGGTTAGTTCCATGTACTGCTTCTTCTTCTGCACTTGGCTCCTACCAAGGTCGTAGTAAGTCTGTCTTCTGCTGCCGTGCCTTTGCTTTTCGTACCTTCCTTACCCCTGCTGCTCTTCTGGTTATATCTCTTTGCTCTGTATTGCTGCTCTTCTTTCCATGTACCGTTGCTGCGGGATTTCTATCTTCAGCTTTCTCTCCGTCAACCTGCATCACTCTGCTACTTGGCGCTTTGTGAGTGTCTTACGCTGGTCTCGCTTCGTCCTAGAATTCTAGCCTGCACGCCGCGACTCTTTTTGCAAGCCAGACCTCGTGGAATGTGCAGTGGATGAATGGATGTGACTGTTGATGCCTCTACGCAATCCCCCGCAATTGCACCCAAAGCCTCGTCAACTCCACAAGCCCGCAGATGTTGCCTGCCTCCGATGCTGGATCGTTGGATCCACGGCCCCGAAGAAAGAGGAACGAGCCGGCCAACATCTCGATGCCGCTGTGGAAGACGTAAAGGCCCTGCCAACAAAGCTTCTGAGAGGCCAGTTGCATCATGCTTCTGCAGAGGGTTGTCCCAATGAAGCACGGCCCCGGCGAGTCCTTACAGGCACGACTGCAATGAGCGGATTGCCCTTGAAGCTCCAACTGCCCAACCAATCGAACCCCTACAGCCCCAAACCATCATCAAACGAGATAACCTTGGGCCGCTCCAGAACCGCAAGAGAATATGAACCGCCCAGAAGAAAGGGGGCCTCGAGAAGGTACGCCATTCTGGGAAAGTGCTCCAGAGTTCAGACTATGCCCCTTTCTACTCCTCTGTCACTCTATGAAACTCTAGACCAGACACACTCTGACATGAAGCAGCGACCCGATGGAACTACGTGTACTGCGTTGGGAAAAGGAGCGGAATTCGAAGTCAGACACTCCATGCATCATGCAGCTGATCGGATGCACCTATCCTGATGCACCTATCCTCCCTAGAGCGTTGCCAAAGCACCCCAATTGTTGTAGGTGGCAAGGGAAGACGCATTTGTCGGACCATCAGCTCGTCGTACTATGCGCCATTTGACAGCATGAGCCTTTTGGCTACACGGTCACTACTTGGGCACCATCGCACCCAGAGCACGCAGAAAATGAGAGTGATCTACAACTCTCTTGGAACTTGGCAACACTGCGAGTCCGGCATGTCGGACCCCAAAAAACTGACGAAGGCAGAGATGTCATTGGTACAGAGTCTTCACGAAGGCAGGGTCGCCAGGTTCAAAGGCTCGTCTCGCTTCGGAGAGAGACCAACCCGACTAGCTGGGCGAATTGCAGCTTGCTACATCGTCGAGGTCGCCCAGCTCGGTGAAGACATTCAGCCTCGACGCAATGATGTCTGATACAAGGAGTGCTGCTGTTTCTGCTTCAGGGATCGTCATCCTAAGACTTCATCCCCGGTCTACACCCTGTATCGCGACTGGCGATCGGACCTCGATGTTCCCCTCCTGAGTCAGAGAAGGCCAGGTTCAGGCAGCTCGGCTGAGAAGGGGAATTTGGGGGAAAGGTGGTTGGAGCTGCTCTGCAAGTTCTGTCCTCGGGGACTGGTCCATCATCATGTCCTCCATACGCCGGAGGCTCCTCGCAAACCTCAGAACCACAGACCCAGACTTCCCAAAAAACTCGCCTCACAGAGCTCAGAGCTCTTCAGAGCTTTGCGGCCACGGGGCCGTCGAAGCAAGCCCGTTTGCTGCCGGAAGGTGGTCCTTGGCGGCTTTCGGGCGACTGCCGCTCCCGAAGATTCAAACACATCGTCTCTCAAACTGGAGTTGCAGCCTTTCCAGCGTTGAAACGGGTCCTTCAGCCCTCCAGAGTCAAGAAAGGCCAAGCATTTCAGCCACAAGCCTATTGGGCACAACAGAAGCTATCGAGCACAGATATTGTCTGCGGGCTGCCCACATCCCGAACCCTGTGCGGCCAAGAAGCTTCATGTCGAAACTCATCTGGAGCAGATCTATGCTGGTTGCCTTGCAATGTACAGGTACTGCCGCACAATCTCCCTTAACCCGTTGACACGTGTCAAGGATGCAAGCTTCACGTGCTAGTCCCGAGCAAGTACCGTGAGTAAGTGTACACACGTTGACACCCATGCAAGACACCTAACCAGTTGACAGTCTGCAACGATTTCCTCAAGGGAACAGCGGGGCAGGTCATTGCAGGTGGGCGCATGTGTGGATGCACAGGATTGCACTTCAGTATCACGGACATTGCATGCAGTTGAGTGGCAAATCCTTTCATCCGAACGCAGGCATTGGCTAGCGTTCGAACGTCCACTTCCTGCTCACATTCAGGCGCAGCTTGCGGCTTGAAAGGCATTGCAATGCATGGCCTCCACATGAAGCATGTAGATGGACTCACCCCGATAACGCCACGCCTGCTTGTCTTTATCCGAGGTGAGCATGTTGAAGAAGGACCTTCGAAGCGGTACGAGATGCACTCAGCAACAAGAAGGCAAGATTGGCAAATGCATAGAGTGTGCAGCTTCCGCAGAGGTCCCAACTCGACATTTTTGATGTCGATGCCCCTCGCGGACCTGACTTTCAGGAGCATCCGGATGCCCACCCCTCTTTGCACCCCTCTTTGCTCAACTATGTTGTCAGTATTCGTACACATGCGTGGGAATGTGTTGGTTGGCCACCACGGCTTGAAGCATTGATCATTCATGTCTCATCACCCTAGTGAAGCTTCCCAAGAGATCACACTGAAGGGCTCTTCTCCCACAGCCAAAAGCCAGAGCTCACTAGAAGTACTCCAACGGAAAGGCTGATGACCTGAAACGTACACCGTGCTACCAAGATGCAAGTATCCCCGGAACCGGGGATCCTCCGCCATTGGGCGGAAGTCCTTTCGGAGTAGCCGCAAAAGCTTGCCGGTCTCGCATCATCAGAAGGTTTCAAACACTTCGCTCCACCTCGAGGGAAATGGATCCCACGTCCTCGCCGTGATAGGTTGCACCTTGGTATTCAACGGAACTAATGGTCGCGCGTGCATCCACATCCATCTCTCTCTTTCTCTCTCTCCCCCTCTCCTTCAACTGTCATCTTTCGATCAACACATGTGGAGGATGTTGAGCAGAAGTCAGCCCGGCTCCAGCGGCCTGCTACTTACCGGGACCTGGCCCAGCCAAACACCCAACTTGGCCTTAGCCGCCTTAGCTCATGCCCTCGCTGCAGACCCGCCGCGACCCACGAAAACATCGATGAGCTCCTGACAAGGGAAGATTTGCAGAAATCTTCGGCAGCGATCTGACGGTTTGCGGGGTCCTGTGAAAGCTTCTTCTCCTGGTTGGTCTGCCTTGGCTGCAAGCGACGAGCTCATGGGAGTGCTCGGAGGCTTGGAGTTCCAGTCCGCCCCTCGCCGTTGCCCGACATGCTTGCAGCCGCGCTGCTCCCACACCACAGCATCAAAGTCCGGAGTTGCAGCCTTTAGCGCAGCCTCAACGAAGATGGATGTCACCTCGGCATCCGTTGGTGCTCTGAAGATGGAGAGTCAAGCGACAGCTCTGGTTCGCGAGCAGTGCGATTGATCAAACGAGGAAGGCCCATCCGTATGTATGTATGTATGTATGTATGTATGTATGTATGTATGTATGTATGTATGTATGTATGCAACTGTATGTATATATGCAACTGTATGTATGTAACTGTACGTATGTATCTGTATGTATGAAAAACTGTATGTATGCAACTGTATGTATGTAACTGTATGTAACTGTATGTATGTAACTGTATGTAACTGTATGTCTGTAACTGTATGTAACTGTATGTAACTGTATGTATGTAACTGTATGTAGGTATGTATGTATGTATGTATTTATGTGCTCACATACGATACCTATACGATATATAAGATATGTATATGCATATATATGTATATACACATATATACATACATATATGGACACACACACACACGCGCACGCACATGTTTCCATTGGCATGGACATTTACATGTGCGCACAAGTATACAGATATGCATTACGACATGCGAGGTGCAGGTACGTGTGCCTGTATGTACAGTATACATGCCATAGGCATGCAGAAACATATGCATGGAGGCAAGGATGCATGAAACGTGCCATGAAAACACCATCGAGGTCCAGCCCAGGAGCAATGTTCCAGATCGACACGACGAAGAGCAGGATGAACATAACGAAGATCACCTCGGCCATCTTCGGTCTCCGACAGGAGTTTTGAATACAATCTTCAAGCGAGGTGGCTCCTAATACACCCAAGAACAGTTGGGTTGCTTGATGTCACCTATCTGAGGTCCGTACAGGCATTGCCCAACCAGTTCTCTCAAGCGCCTCCCGTCAAAGCTCGACCATGCTTCGGGTTTAGGGGTTCTTCTTCATTGACGCCAATAGGCTATTCCAATTCGGGTTATCCGAAATAGTTGGAGGGAGGCAAGACTTAGTGGAGTCACGCACAGATGCTAGCACCAGTGCATGTGCACGCACCAGCAAATGTCTCGAAGCTGTTGGTGTTCCCTCTTGCTCAGGCTCATCGTGCCATGAATGATCTGGGCAGGCGAAAATACCATTCGGCCACACGGGTGCCGATGCTTCAAAACGCAATGCTGAGATCACGGGTCTACAGCAACAGTGCCCAGCTTGGGTGCGCAGCACCGGCTGTGACTCGAAAGAGTTTCAGCGCCCGTAATTCCACTTAATCTGGTATGCCAGCCACAGCTCAACAGTCAGAGCAAAGCCGGACAGATGAGGCGCCGCAGCAGCCCCCCCGAAATCTCAGCCCCAATGCCCTGGCCCCCGTCCTTGTAAGGCTCGTTCCAGTCAATGCCACCAGTTGTGGCCTTGGCTCGAGAACCGCCACTCGCGGAGGAAGTGTCACAGCTTCACCGGCACTGAAGTTTCACAGGGCTCCAACACCTTGCCTCAAGCTTGCGGCGAGTCGGACTGAAGTCTGCTGCGGTTTAACATCGGATATGGAAACGTGACATGTAACATGTCTAATTGTAAAACACTGCGTGAGACTCGAGCCTAGTATACAACATGAAAATACAATGCTATATGATGGGATGGTGGTAATAGAATATACTGCAGCCCATAATAAATATATGGTAGTATGTGATGGCGCAGGTAGTATGTGATGGCGCAGCCTGAAACTGAAATTGGACCCAACGAAAGAGAACCACAAAAAGTGATGCTGCACGAAGTCGAAGCTTTCACGCGAATTTAGGAGTATGTTGTATGTTTCAGTGGTGACAGAAACGGATGTGCTCCAGCACAACAGAAGAGACAGAAGAGCCAGATGCCGGCAAGGCAGCCTGAAGCAGAGTGATCATGGTCTGAAACACGTTGCGGAACAAGGATTGCAGCCTCGGCTTCGGATGAGACGTGGTGTTTCCCGGTTTCTTGGAGACTAGCTCCTCAAGGACATGAAAGACGAGTGCACTCAGTCAGCCCAACCCCTGCCTCTGTTGTGTCCACTGACAGCATATATGAGTCAGCATCAAAATTACTTGTTCATGCTGCTTATGTTTTTGAACTAGCGCGTCCCCTATCGTTTTCCGAGGAATTCGCCTTAGGCACTTGCAGGGGCCAAAGTATAAGTAACCCTATCGTTTTAGCGCGTCCCCTATCGATCTTGGGGGCTCTGGCTCAACAACTACCCTCTACACTAAACTACATTAACGATAATTTTGATCCCATCTCATATACTGAACCAGGCCTACGAAGCACATGGCCTGATCCATTCCAGTCCCGCAGCTCTCTCGAGTGCTCCGAGGTGATGTCTTCCGTGCGGGCAATGTCAGCAAAGTATCCTGCGGCGCTTGTGGATTTTTCAGGCCCTGTCTTCGGGAATCCTCCAGGGCCGAGCCGGAAAACAGGGGAAGTTGTGGAACCGAACATCTGGGCTCGAGGCCTCGCTTGACTTTGCCCTGATTGCAGTGCTCTGGCTTGGGTCCTACCAACGCCTGCCCCAGGAGAAGGGCGAAGATGAACTTGGTGAAGAAGAGCAAAATCACACCTCGAGAGATGGAACCAGTCGAAGCTACCCTATCATCCCACACAGGGAAGATGATGCCACAAAGCCTCCCTCTTGCTAGGTCAAACTTCATCATGGAGGTCCGGTGCCATGTTCTCATGAACCGGGTACTATACGGTCTTCTGACTCCCCGGACCTGTCTAGCAGAAGCCCTCCGACCCAAAGCAACTCTGAGGCTCCGGCACCAGAAAGCATTGACCACAGAGCCCGCCACACACTCAAGCATCAGTCGGAGCTCCTGGAAGAACTGCAACCTGAGTACAGGGCTTCACGGCTCTTAGGGATGAGAGCTTGGAACACCTGGAGCTCAGTCAGAATGCGGTGGACACAGCACAGGTTTTTGCTGAGGTTCCACTCTTTTAGTCCCGCCGTTGAAAAATTGGATATGTATGTATGTGTGTATGTATGTATGTATGTATGTATGTATGTATGGATGCATGTATGTATATGTGTATGCATGTAGCTGTGTGTAGCTGCGTGTAGCTGCATGTAGCTGTATGTGTGTATGTATGTATGTATGTATGTATGCATGTATGTATGTGTAGACACATATATACGTTCATTTATTGAGATCATACACATACCGGTGTAGAATCTCCGATACTTTTTGTGAATCTGAAACTGTGCAGACGATAGCAGGTGCCTCCCAACACCGGCCGGGCACCCTGCTGCCGAAAGATGCGAAGGATCCGAGCCAGCTTGCAGAGGCGGAGAAGCCGCAGGAACATCACCTGAAGTAGCATACTACTATTACTTATACTATTATTACTATGATAATTACTGGAAAGATCCGAAAAGCCGTGAAGCAACAGTTGAAAGAGACTGCCCTCTGGAATTTTGGCGGCTTTCAGGTTCGTGGCTCGAGTAAACCCGGAAGGCGACATGTCAGCATGAACTCCGAGGTCACTGCCGTCTCTAGGGCTGTTTTGCTCCCATTTCGAATGCCCGAAGAAGTTCGGGGTTAGGGGCCCATGTTGCGGTCATCACGGGCTGGAGGTTTCGAACATTGAACCTGGGACGATGGATTGCAGTCTCAGAAGCATCAAATCCCGATCCGCTGCTCACACTGCCAGAAGCACTGGCTGTAAGGAGGTGCCTCAGCTCTCGTGCTGAACCCACGCGCTTTCTTGGATCGTTTTTGAATTTGAGATAATGAAAAGCACAAAACAAAAACAACAACAAAACCCTATCGTGCCCTCATGCCAAGCTTCTCTACCAGGACAGTCACGACGAGGAAGAAGTCAAAAATGTTCCACCATCGGTCCTGCCAAAAAAGTAGAACTGATCCTAGCACATTATCATCCTATCGATTGGTCGCTCTTCATCCCGATGCCTGCAAGACCCTCCTTCAAGCCCTTTGCGGGAACAAGCTTTGGAACCCAACGGATGACATGCTAACCCCAAGTGCTACATCTGACAAACCTGAGCACCGGGCCTGCGCACGAAAGAAATAGAAGCGGTGGACGTACAGCTTGGCCAAGACCTGGGCCACGCCGAAAAAGAAACAGCAACGAAGCCAGTTCAGCATAGACCGGCACTGATGTCGAGTCGAAGGATGAAATACGTGCCCCAGCTGTAAACTCCAGACAGCAGTATCACGTACTAGCCCTCGCCCTGTTTTTCCAGGCCTCAAAGAGGTAGAAGGCAGAAAAAGCGAGTTCGACTTCCAGAACTTGCTGCACCTCGCAGGGACCCAAATTGAGAGACTTCTGCTCTTTCGGGCGTTTTGGGGAGTGGGCCGTGCTGTTTGGCTATTAGTGTTATTCTTCTTATTATTCTTATTATTAGTATTGCTATTAGTAGTATTGTTACGATTATTGCTACTAATTATTATTATCAGCATAATGATTATTATTATTCTTATTATTATTATCATTATTGTTATACGACCTCTTCGCCCGGTCGGGACAGCTCGTAGTTGGTCATGACCTGAGCTTCAGACCGGCCAACTGGAGCAGGAGAAGGCATGGTACAACACTCCAGATATGTACCGAGGTCGAACAACTTTCGGCAGAACTGCTACTCTCCGAAGGTGACGATCCGATGCTTCAACGCCACCTCCTGACAAAGCTTGGCGTAACAAGCCCAAACAAAGTCGAGGTGCCGTGATCCAGGCGGCATTCAGCACTATCCTGACATGTATCCCGGGAATTTTTGAATGCCGCAATAGATGGGAACAAGGGATACAAGACTCGGACCTAGAGCTTACAGATGGCACAGTCTGTCGATGGTTGAGTCTGTTTACATGCCCGCAAGGATCGGGAAAGAGAGTTGCACCACCCATGGCTGCACACACGCATGCATCTCCAACGCGAACTGCTCTTGTGGAGGGAGCTGCAGTCAAGTATCACTCCCAGAGATATTGACTGGAAGAAGCTGCTCAGGAGCAGCGTGGCCACAAAGCCCGTGCGAGGTGGTTCAGTAACCTTGGATGACAGAAGTGCACAGTCCGTGCCTGATAATTGTCTTTGCAGCCTCCGACACACCATACAGAAAGCTCAGAATCACGCTCGGCGCCCACTCCCAAAGGCGAGAAACAACATCAAAGCTTGTCTTATGACAGCTAAATCGCGAGAACCCTGGAAGCGACGATACAATGTCACGCCCCAGAAGCTCAGTCCTCAACATTCACCCCTGAAAGCCTAAGTTTCATGCTCCGGCGGCCAAGGTCAAAACAAGGAGCAGATTCCAGGAACTTTGCAGCGCTCGCCGCGCAGCTCAGAGCTTTACGGACGAGACCCCCATACCTCGGCGCTCAGGACTTGGTGCAGAACTGCTGTGAGTGTAGCTGCATATGGCAAAAAGAGTGCTACCGGTTTCGCCATTTAGAACACTAAATATGGCCTCTGCCCCAAACGTGCCGATCAACTGGATTTTGCGCGACGCGCGTACTCAAAGAGATCGAAGCTCTGCTAGCTTGCACGATCGACAACGGCGTTGTAGCGGTACATCATGATTCCGGGCACCATCATGGACAAGCCGGCAAAAGCAAGGAACAGGTTTTGTTCCATTGCGGGTGTTAATGAAATTTAGGCAGGGTGGTGAAGAGCGCCCACGCAGGTTACTGCTACGGTTTCGAAGTTCCCGCTGGTAGAAGATTATTGCATCGCAGGTAGCTGTGCAGCTTGGCGCAGCAAGCTCTGATGCCGCCTGCAGCAGGAGTGGATTCTGCGCTCCACAAAACTGCCCCCACACCCCCTGTGATGGGGACCCTGTCCCAAAGCCCCAAGCCAGACCTCAGATGCGGAAGGGACATCGACTGGAGCCCCGTCAGGTCAAATGCCGTCTGCTCTGCCTCCTGAGACCCAGGTCTCCGAAGCTCGGGGCGAAGAAGGGAGAAGTCAAGAGGTTTTATTGGTGATGCTCGTGTTCATCTCGCTGTTCTTGTGGGCCTGTCTGATCATGACTGCGCTTGTGATATGGTTTGCCTCGGCTTCCGACTTACCGGCTGAAAGAGGCGAGTTACAAAAAGCTAGCCGAGGAAGACGAGCGTTGCAGATCCAGTTCGGGTTCAGGGTTCTTGGTTGCACTCCTCCGTTCGAGCTCTTTCTTTGAAGGAGAGGAAATTCTGAGCAGCAACTGTGGCTTGCCGCCTGGAATCTCGATTTGCGAAGTCATCCTACTAAAGTCTCGAAATAACGGTGTGCCGATACACTGAGGCTTCAGCATCGAAGCGAGCAATCTACCAGACTCAACAAACCATACTGATGATCACCATCATAGCCGGCAAGACGATCATGTTCATGCCGGGTGCCCTTATTTTCAGGTTCACATGGCGACTTCTGCAGAAACCGATCCAAAACAGTGCCTGCAGCTCAAAAAGGGAGTTTCAGAAAACCAGAGATCCTTCTATAGAACCCCCCAAGTAGACCGGGAACACCATTTCAAGAAACCCTAATCTTCAATAAAGCCCCTCGCACGTTGGGTCCTGCATTTTTAGCTTCTCCTCGAGGCTGTCGAAAGTATCCGCCCGCTGGAACGAGGGCCGACCGGTGGTATCCACCCGGTGGAAGGAAGGTCGAACGGTTTCTGCAGCCTCGACCACCTGCTTCGGGGAATTAACCGACATTGAAGCTCTTTCTCAACTTGTACCCTTGTGCACTTGCTTTTTTGGTTCGAGGTGCGGGTTTGCCTCGTTTGGGGATCTCGCGGCCAATGGAAAATCTATCGGTGATCGCACTTGTCTTGTTGTTGTGGTGCCTGCTTAGCAGATTTATGTTGCACAGCTTGCTTTCGCGTGCCATTGCTAGCTTCGCAGCTTAAGCCCCCGGAGCCCTGAACCACGAACCCTTAACCTCAAACCGGCTCAAACCTCAACGCGACCCTCAAAAATCGCGGGATGCCGGCCTCGTCCTGCTCAGAGTCTGGTCTCACGTCGTATGCGACGAGGCCGGAGACCAGTTCTTCCTCTGCATCATCTCATTTTGAAGAGTCCCTAAATCTGTGTCTGCTTGTTTACTTACATTGAGTGTACATGGTTCCGTGTGTTATCGCGTGTTGATACAACTTTCGCGCAAAACTGTTTGCATTCCGCGCCTGCTTTAGCGGATCTGTCGCAGACTCTTTAAACCCTGTGACATTGCCGGTTTTGTATAAACCGTTGACACGGACCTTTAGAACAAACCCTCATGTATTTGCTTCTCAGGCAGAGGTGTGTCGAAAGCGGACTACTCCTCGATAATTATTTGCAATCACTGTGGTCCTGCCCCTCAATCGGCTGTTTGGCCCCAGGTTTGCGGAGCTTGGGGGCTCTAGCAGGGCTTAAGATTGAGAGCACTTAATTATGGCACTGATGCTAGAGTCAGCGCATGGGAGAATCAGGCCCAGGCCTTGCGTCCGGTCGAGCGGCAACCGCGGATCACAAGGTCAATACCCGAAGAATCACAACAAACTTCTAAAACCCAGCTCCTCGGTCTTCGCACGTCTGCCTTTGGTCAACACAGCCAAGGACTTCGCCTGTGCAAATCATGCATCGGAAGGATGCAGAGAATCTAGGCTGCGGTGTAGCTCACGATACTTCGAGCTGCTGACTTCTTGACAGTCTCGAAGCCTTTCTGCAACCCCAAGCTACCAAAAGATGGCTCAAGGTCTCCAGGTCGTACCTAGCCACTCCTAGCAAGCACAAGACGGTCTCGTGCATTATTTCGACTGGGAAGCTGGATCCACTTTGCACATTGGATGCTACGACGAACATATCCAGCACTGCACTACTGAACTGCCTATCATAGAACGACACATGAACCGAACAAGAGTCCTCCAGACCTGCAGGCAGGCAGACTCATACAATCCCATGCATCACGTTGCTGAGATCTGCCTGCATGCTCTCGAAGAGCTGCTCATGCTTGGCGAGGAGCTCCTGGTGTCTCGTCAGGCTCGGAGGAATCCACATCCACCCACCCACTCTCACACACACACACACAACATCGAGCCTCTCCTTGTGAAGACTAATCAGTTCTCGATTCTGCTCCAGATCGCTCAAGAACGACTGATCCGCCGCAACTTTTTCGCCGGTCAGCACCTGGGCATGCAGGGCCGGGGATCTTGCAGTCTTTCCCTGGCAGCCCTACTTCAAGGTGCCCCTAAGCCCCCAAGGAAAGGAGCTTCAGCTGTGAGGGTATGCAGACCTGCTGGAATCCCCAAAGGCCACAAGAGCCCCAACCCGGGCGAAGGAAGGACGAGAAGCAGCGCAGCTGGCTGGCGTGGGGCATGGGATCATTCCTACGGCGATTAAACTTCAACACGTCCCAACCGCAAAAGGGCATAAGAGACCGCTTTGTTCGTGCTCGGGAGGCTGCTGCTGATGGACTCCGGATTCTACGAGAGTCTGCCATGTGCAGGTGCTTCAGACATCAAAGTTTCATCTTGATCCCAGACGGCCTTGAGCTTCAACAGCTGCTCTTAAGTTGCGTTGTTTCCTGTTGCTGCCTTCCCGTGCCTCTCTCTCCCCCTCTTTCTCTCTCCCTCCCTCTTTGTATGCATCTCTATGGTTGCCGTGACCACTGAGGCGTGCATACTCTGCAGCAGCCCTGACCTGCAGAGACTCCTTTTTGCTGTCCCAGCTCGAGTCCGAGCCGATCCTTTCCCTGGGAGGGGAGATGGCGAGCCTTAAGTTCCAGAGCCTCAGCGAAGGGGGGACCGCTTTGGAGGCTTCCCATGCTACCCGATAACGGGTGAGACCGGTGCAGGGCTCTGCCCAACTGCCGGCTTGCCAAGAGGAGCTTCCTTGGCACAGTGGGGACACAACAGATTTGGAAGCGCAGAGAGCCTAGAACAAAGAATCCCACATGGCCTGGAGACAGATTGACCGTCTTGGTCCTTTCACTCCTGTCATAGTCAAGTCTGTGCTATGCGATCGCAGTCGTCGGATGGCAGATACTTGGAAGAGCATCGGCATGCCGTGCCTCGGCAGTCGTGGTGGCCTCTGCGCTGGTCTTGCTTGTGGTAGCCTTGTTCCTTGGAAGCATTTGGAATCTCCGAAAAGCTGCAAGCCTCAATGATATGAGGTTGTGCGAAAGCAAAACCACATCTGACAAGCTTCGTGGTTGTCACTTCATCTTCGTCTTCGTCTGCCTCGTTGCCCGGCGCCTCTGTTGCTTGTAGAGGGGCTCAAGATTGAAGCTTCCTCAATGTCCCATCCAAAACAGCCCTTATGTGAGAAAACGAAAAGCAACACAACTCTGCAGCCCGGGCTTGAAGCCCTGCCTTGACTCGAACATCCTTCAGCCACTAAAGCTCGAAAGCCGTAGTAGGGTTCAGTGCAGGAACAGGCCTTTGTCGTCGTTGCTGCATCTCCGTCATCCTCAGATGCCTGCGATGTAGACGGTGCTGGCAAATTTTTGCTGCAGTCGTTTGCATGGAAGGGCTGTGCTTGCACCACAGCTAACGAGCCCCAGGACTCCTGTAGGCCTTCGTCGTCGAGGTGGCCTTCTGCGTGGTCTCGTCTTCTTCTTCCTCCTCCTCTTCTTCATCTTCCTCCTCTGCCTGTCCAAGGCCAGTTCTGCTTTTGTGGCAAAGCTACTGGTCGCCCTCAGCCTGAAACCAGAAGGACACTGAGCACGACTCGCCAAACCAGCCGTACCTGAAACCTATCTCTACAACTCCTTCAAACCGCAAGCGAAATCATCCCCAAACATCCTGCGCAAGAGACAGCCTTGGTGGTACTGGCCGATTCTCGGCTCGTCGTATTCTTGGCAGGAGCCTTGATGCACAGAACATCTTGCCTTTGACTGCATGTAGCATGACCAAGATGTCCGAAAAAGCATCCTTCGCCCCGTTCAAGAAGACATCGGACACGACACGCGCAGCCCCACGGCCCGAAGCTACGCGCATCGTCGGGGCACGCGGCCCAAAAAGAAACCCAAAATGCCACAATTACCAGGCTTACACCTTCAATGTGGGGCTTTTCACTACCCTCCATGTCTGCTGAGCTTCATTGTCCCTAGCCTTTGCCGACCCCAGAAGACCTGCATGGAAGGTCGACTCGATCTGCCGGGCCCCGCAAAAGCACCGAAATATTCCTAGACTCCAAGACCCATCTTAGCAGTCTCGATGCCGCAGTCGTGGTGGTCGCCTCTTTGCCGGCAGTGGCCTTGCTGCAGGACTGAAGTGTGGGCAGCGCTGGGCAGAAAATAGCAGCTCGCAGATAGACTGGCAAGGCATCGGGGCAAAACTCCCAGGAGTAGCGTCTCACAGTTTGCTCAAAGCAATTCGGAAACCACCGTGTCCGTGAGCATTCACTTCTTCACAGCGCAAGCTTGGCCAAACTCTGGGACCGCTGCATTTGTGCTCTTTTTCGGCGCGCCAGCGGAGGTGGCATCCTGCGCGCGAGCCGAGCGAGCAGTGCGGACCGTCACGTGTTGGCACAGGATAGGCCATGTAGCGTAACCTCAAGAACACTTGATCCACAAGTTTGACGACCACAACGTGGCAAGCCCATGGGCACCCAAAACTGCCCACCAAAACACACGGAACATTATTCCATGTTGTCGTAGATACAGGCACCGCGATGATCATTGTCACCCTCGTCGCCATGAGTCGAACGATGACCATTCTGGCCGTCGTCGCTGGCACGAGCATCAACGATTCCACAGCAGCCACAAGCATCATCACCCCAGCATTGCCACTGCTTTGCTTTCAATCATATTTCAGTATCATCTATCAACATAACAAACATCATCATCACCATCAACCTCATGATCATGATCACCATCATCATCATCATCATCATCACCGGTTTCCTGGATAGTCCTCGTTGGTCCGAACTTCACCACCCCTCATCGTTAACAGATCACCATGACCGCCATCATCATGATCACGAACATCGTCGTCTTCGCCGTTGCCTGCTTGGCGATGGTTGCTTCATATTAGTCGCGTCTTGGTTGGTGTTGCTGTTGCTGCTTCCTTTACTGCTCTTCCAGTTGTGACAACTTCTGTATTCGTAGCAGTTGTAGTGGTCGTAGCCGCCACCGCACTCTTTGTCGTCTTCGTCGTCCTTGTTGTAGTTGGTGTCCTGTTATGTTGCTTATTGTGCAGAAAGCCGAGCCTTCGCGGCAGCCACTGCAGCCTCTCGAGCTGCACGAACGTCGGCGGCTTTGCCGCCAGCAGATTTGCAGCCCGCCACCGCTGCATCCTGGAGATGCTCCCGAAGCTAGGATCTCTGCATCCTTAGAATTAGCCTCTCGGTTAGAAGTCGGGACCCAGACCAGATTGACGTCCCTGACTTCGGATCGGGAAAGCTGGGATGGATCAGTGCGATTTGAAAGACCGACGTCCGAGCACTTCCGCAGACTCGTTCGAACGGCCTGGAGAGCCTACCCCGCATGAGTTGCATCCCGTGCCACTCTCTTTCTCTTCCTCGCTCCCCGCAAAAGCATGGGTCCATTTGAAGGACCGCCGCGTTTTTCACTGTCGTCGTAGAGGCCCCAAACATGGCTGTTTCAAGTGTCTAGATCTCCTCCCTTCGCGACCACATCACCGAGATGAAGACCCAGCAACCGTCCATTGCTTGCACTGCCTGCGCTGCGCATCCGCCACTCTACATCCCACGTCCTCGGCTGCTTTGATCTGCCGATCGCTGCTTTCTCCGGCTCTTGCCGAGGCATTTTATGCTGCACGGCCGGCAAAAGCAGCCACCTTCAAGCAGAGTGGCATGCAATGAATTTGAATAGTTTTCTACGTGTTCTAGGATACTACATACATACCCAACTACATACACATATTCATTTATACCTTCATACATCTGTGCATCCATCCATCCATCCATCCATCCATCCCTCCATCCCTCCATCCCTCCATCCCTCCATCCCTCCATCCCTCCATCCCTCCATCCCTCCATCCCTCCATCCCTCCCTCCATCCTCCATCCCTCCATGCATCCATGCATCCACGCATCCATGCATCCACGCATCCATGCATCCATGCATCCATACATGCATGAGCATGTATGCGCATTGATTTGCTTGCTTACTTATGTACTTCCCTAGTTACTTGTACGAATATGTGAAATGTTGCGTCTTGTTTGTGTACCTGTCTCTATCTACATCTGCCAATGCATCTATTTGTGTGCTTGTTTGCTTGCTTGCTTGATTGATTGGTTGATTGCTGGCTTGCTTGGTTGCTTGCTTGTTTGTTGGCTTGCTTGTTTGTTGGCTTTCTTGTTTGTTGGCTTGCTTGTTTGTTTGTGTGTTTGCTTGCTTGCTTGCTTGCTTGCTTGCTAGCTTGCTTTGCTTTGCTTTGAAAGGGGTCGCGACAAAGCAGGATCGGTGCTGCGGTTTTAGGGGGCCTTTTAGGGCCTTTAGGGAGTGTATGTTAAATCAAGGTTGCCTGGCGCAACAAGCTTAATTACGCGCAAGAAGCTTCATTACCTCCGGCGAGTGGCCGAAGGGTTCGTATCTCTACTCATACACTCCTTGCCACAAGGAACTTATGAATTTGCGAAGCCGAAGACTCTAAGATTTAAGCCTTTTTCGTCTTTGGTTCTTTCTGATTCAATGCTCAAGAGCGAAAGCTCCAACCGACCTTCATGCAGCTGGCTCTCAAGAGCGTGTCGTGTCAGAGCTTAGGTTTGGGGATCCCGGTTCGCCTAGCATGAGCAAGAAGCGGTTGTGCTACCAGCAGTTATAGTTTCAGTTCAATCGGGTCACAGGTCCCCAAGACATGCTTGTGCACTGGCGAGGCAGCCGCCCGTTTGGCTCACTCCCTTTGAGACGATCGCCATGCTCTTGCTAAGACAGACAATGTCACTGCCATGTTGCCGAGGATGATAGTGATGATGATGCTATGGCATGACACCTCCTCAATGGCAGCGCCGGCAGCTATCGCGGCCTCTGCTGCTGCTTTGCCTGGGACTTTAGGGCCTGTGTGAGACTTGGGCCGGCTGCTTCGCACAAGGCTTTGGGATAGGCGCTGGACCATTCAGAAGCCACAGGCGTTATCAAGCGTTGAAGAACCCATGCTTGGTTCTACAACAATCAGGTCGCATGAGATGTCGAGTGCGAGTGGTGGGCGCTTGCATCTGCGGGCGCTAGAACATCCAACACCTACAGAGTCATCTCAGTCTACAAGACCCTGCTCAGCCCGGTTGCCGGCAATGGCCGCTTGCTGGACGGTGCTGACATTCAGGTCCTGGCACACCATGCTTCGTGACTGTTGCCACTAGGGATTTAGAAGGCCGTCGTCTGTTGCTCGATGCATTCACCCAAAGGTCGATTCAAGGACGGGGTCGGATCCACATTTTCGAGAAAGCGACTGCGGATCCTTGGCAGCGCCCGCCGCCGCCATTCCCGCGCTGGCGGCCTGCTCAGAAAAGAGGGAGGGGGGTCGGGGCCTCAACCTCTGCGAGGTGTCGAGCCTGCTGCTTTGCGGAGCCTCCGGCCGACTTTGAGACCAAGCGAGCGGCCTCAAAAGGCGTCCAGAATCATTCAAGCACTTCGGGCTTCCGGTCTGACGAGCCTCGGCGATAACCTCGACCTTCAAGTCAGATTGCTTCTCCTCGTTGGCACCTGCCGCCTCGGCCGCAACCGCAGCCGCTTTGCCGGCCGCTCGCAGCTTGTCCTGCATCGCATCTGCATGTTGGCATTGCCTATAGTTTTGCAATCTAACTGAATCTCAAGGGCCTTTCTGCCAATGCATGAAGCCTGTAACCTTCTCAGTCTCCTTGTAGCTGAGGCCAGCTGCAGCGGAGGCATTCAGAGCCGCTGTGCCCGCGACCAAGGCCTGCTCATCCACGGACATGCCGGCATCCTTCGCCACTTCTGCCGCAGCTTTGCCGGCTGCGGCCGCCTGTTGCTCTGGGATCTGATTGGCCTCCTTGGCCGCTTCGGCCGCTGCCTGGCCGGCACTTGCTGCCTGCTCAGCGGTTTGAGCGCCTGTGGCTTTGGCTGCATCGCCTGCTGCCTCGGCTGCTGCCTCGATCTGCTCCGCCACCGTCTCCTTGGCCTCCTTGGCCTCTTTGGCGGCCACCTCCCCAGCGTCCACACCGACCTCCACGGAAGTTGCACCATTGGATTTTGCAGCCATGGCCGAGGCGTTCCCCGCAGCTTCGGCTTGCTCCTCCGCGGACATGTTCGTCAGCTTCGCGGCGGAAGCGGCCGCCTCGCCTGCCAGCTCCGATTGCTTCTCGGAGCCCTCGCTCTGGGCCTGGGCCGCTGCTGCCGCGGCCTGGCCTGCTGCTGCCGCCTGCTCGTAGGCGGCCGCCCCTCCAAGCTTCGCAGTTTCTGCTGCAGATTGTCCCGCGTCGGAGGCCTGTTGCTCCACCGCCTGGCCCTGATCGCTTGACACTTTGGCAGTTGCCGCCCCTGCCACTGCAGCCTGCTTGGCCACGGAGGCCCCGTTGGCTTTGGCAACCGCTGCTGCGGCCTTGGCAGCCTCCTCGCCCTGTTCGCGGGGAGTGTATTGCAGGTCACTAGCAGCACTTGCCGCGGCGCGTGCAGCAGCAGCTGCCTGCTCCTCCATGGGTTTGTCCAAGGCGCTCGCTTCTGCGGCAGCTTCTTTGCCTGCATCCTCCGGAGTAATTCTTGACACTGTAGTCGTGCTCTCGGTAGTCAAGCTTGTCGTGGACATCTGCGTCGTCGACGGCTTCTGTGTTGACGTGGTGGGGCTAACAGCCGCCATGGCCGCAGCCTTAGCTGATTCCTGCTGCGCCGCAGTCAAATTAGCTGCTTTGGCAGCTTCTTCCGCAGCTTTCCCAGCTGACAAGATCTGCTTGTCTGACGTCATCCCAGCAAGACCTGCTGCTTTGAAGGCTGACTTTCCTGCCAGAACTGCCTGCTTAGCTCCTGACATTCCTGCAGCCCTGGCGGCATCCGCAGCGGCCTTGCCTGCAGCTGCGGTTTGCAGCTCCGGGATCTGTGTTCTGGCTGCTTCTGCGGCAGCTTCCCCAGCACTGGCAGCTTGCTCGTAAGCCGATCCGCCTGCCAACTTGGCTGCCTCCGCAGCGGCCTGTGATGCTGCCTGGATCTGCTCACCAACGCCCTCGCCGGACTCTGCAGCCTCTTTGGCAGCCACCTCGCCGGCGTCTACCCCAACATCCGTGGGAGACGCGCCCTCTGCTTTGAGGGCCCTGGCTGACGCATTTCCTGCAGCAGCTGTCTGTTCTTCTGAAGTCATTCCCAAGGTCTGCGCGATATCTGCAGCAGCGTCCCCCGCCAGCTCTGCTTGCTTGTCAGACCCTTCGTTGTTCATTCGTGCCACTGCTGCAGCGGCCTCTCCAGCAGCCGCGGCTTGGCCAGAGGCCGAGGCGCCATTGGCCTTCGCAGCGGATGCCCCAGCTTGGCCAGCGGCTGCAGCCTGCTGCTCCAAGCTTTGCCCATCCGAAGCAGCGACTTTCGATGCAGCCATGCCGGCAGCTTCTGCTTGCTTGGACATGGATGCACCAGCAATTTTCGCTGCTGCGGCCGCTGCCTGACCAGCTAGCTCCACTTGCTCGGCCGGAGTATACTGCTGATCCTTTGCAAGGGTCGCGGCAGCCTCCCCTGCCTTCGCCGCCTGCTCCTGCAAGGGTTTGCCAGCAGCCTGGGCCTGCTCCGCAGCCTCCTTGCCAGCATCCAAAGGATCTCGTTCAGCTGGCGGAGATTTCTTGGATGGACTTGCTGCTTTTGTGACAGTTGCAGATGGTGCGGTGGTCAAGGTCTGAGCTGAGGCCGTGGGATTTGCTGCAGCCCTCGCCGCACTCTTGGCTGCGGCCTGTTCCTCTGGTGTCATGCCGGCTGCTTTGGCAGCTTCCTCTGCAGCTGTTCCAGCCGCCGAAATCTGCTTCTCCAACTTCAAACCGGCTACAGCGGACACGCTGAAGGCCAACTCTCCCGCCAGCTTTGCCTGCTCAGCTCCTGACATTCCTGCAGCCCTGGCGGCATCCGCAGCGGCCTTGCCTGCAGCTGCGGCTTGCAGCTCCGGGATCTGTGTTCTAGCAGCTTCTGCGGCAGCTAGGCCCGCACTGGCAGCTTGCTCGTAAGCCGATCCGCCTGCCAACTTGGCTGCCTCCGCAGCGGCCTGTGATGCTGCCTGGATCTGCTCACCAACGCCCTCGCCGGACTCTGCAGCTTCTTTGGCGGCCACCTCGCCGGCGTCCAACCCGACGTCGGTGGGAGACGCGCCCTCTGCTTTTGCCGCCAGGGCCGATGCTCTGCCAGCCGCTGCAGTTTGCTCCTCGGGAGTCATGCCAGCCAACCTGCCCGCATCTGCTGCTGCCTGGCCAGCCAGGGCAGCTTGCTTTTCGGTGCCTTCGTTTTGGCTTCGAGCGACTGCCGCAGCAGCCTGTCCTGCAGCCGCGGCTTGGGCAGCAGCTGAGCCGCGGGCTTTTTGGACGACTTCTGCTGCAGCCTGGCCCGCAAAAGAGGCCTGCTGCTCCAGGCTTTGGCCATCGCCACTTCCAACTTTGGCGCTCTCGATGCCTGCTGCGGCAGCTTGCTCCTCCGTGCTCCCACCGCTGCTCGCCACGGCCGCCGCGGCCACGGCACCAGCGACTTCAAGTTGCTGCTGCAAAGTGTATTGCCGCTCCCTGGCGAAGTCCACAGCGGCCTTTGCTGCAGCTGCGGCCTGCTCGTCGACGTGCAAGCCTGTGGCTCTTGCCTCAGATGCTGCTTGGCTTCCAACGAGCTGAGGAGTCAAAACCGTAGTTGTGATGGTGGTAGTTGTCACAGTGGTTGTTGTTGAGGTGCTTGTCTTTGTCTCTGTGGTGGTCGGGGGCACGGTAGTCGTGGATTCCGTGGTTGATGCAGTTGTCGTTGTCGTCGATGCTTTGCTTGTCGTCGTAGTGCGTCTTGCCGTCGTGGTGGGTAACGTTGTTGTCGTCTCGGGAGTTGTGCTTTTCGTGGTGGTGGTTGCAGGAGGTGCCTTTGTAGTCTCGGGAGCTTCCGTTGTTGTCGGCTCAGGCTTGGGAGTCGTCTTCGGCAGTGTCGAGGTTGTTTCTGGAGGGCGTGATGTGGTCGTTTCAGACTCCGTCGTTGAAGTGGTCGACCATCCGTCGACTTTCCTCCAGCTCGGCAGCCCATCCAGCGGCGGAGCGGCTTGGCGACCACCCATGGAACTGCACAGAAAAGGGCCAACCATCACTCCCCGGTCTTGTGGGGCTTCGAAGCCCACCAGACTCACGAGGACTTTCCTTACTGGCATCAGCTGGCCCTCCGACTCCCCCAAAACAAAAAATAGAACAAAGGCTGCCTCACTGCCTTAACGGCCGCTTAATCAGAGGTCTGCACTTCCAGCATCAGGCCACCGATGTGACATCTACACGCCCCATCCCGTCGACGTTCCACAAGCCAACAGAACCATCAGAACAGCAGTAAGACATTGCCGACACTGCCAAGCTGCCATGGACCCGAGTAAGCCTTTCCGAGGACTTTGAACGATGCCGGATCCCGCTCCTTCGCAGAAGCATGTCGCGACTGGAGCTTGCATGCTCACGAGTCCTTTCCGTGTCGAAGGAAAAGAAATTAACTTCCTTTTTGCACTCTCGCCGAGTTTCCGGGGCCGCATTCGAGGTTACAAAGCCGGCGCTGCCGACGACTACCTGACCGAGGATCAAGGACAGCCCTTGAACTTAGTATCACATAGTGTCACCTTCACAGGTCCACGGAAGAAGTACAGTGAAGCACCGAAAGCCACGGAGAATCCAGTTGCCGGAAGGCTCCGGCCGTCTTATAATCCTGAACTTCCTCACTGTTCTGAGCCCCCATTCCAGGATCGCAAGACTGATCGTTGCTTGACGGGATCAATTCAACCAAGCGGCCCCATACTGAACGCGCAGCTCTAACCTTCTGGCTGCATCTCGCAAGATCGATTCTGTAGAGATAGACAGATATGGATGCGTGACTTGTGCGCACATACTGATCGCTCACAGGTGAATAAAAGCACAGGCGGATAGATACATAGATGGATACAGAAGATAGAGGGGTAGAGGAACAGATATGTAGATAGATAGATAGATACATAGGTAGATAGATAGATAGGTATATAGGTAGATAAGTAGATAGGTAGATAGATAGATAGATAGATAGCTAGATGGATGGATAGATAGATAGATAGGTAGGTAGGTAGGTAGGTAGGTAGATTGCTGGATAGGTGGATTGATTGATTATGGATTGACAGATGGATATATGGATAGCTGGATGGATAGATAGATAGATAGACAGACAGATAGATAGATAGGTGGATTGCTGGACAGACTGGGTAGATTGATAGATTGATCTCTCGGCCAGAGCGAGCGGGAGAGAGAGAGAGCGCGAGAGAGAGAGAGAACAAAAGGAAAAGAGAGCGAAACATGCGATGCACTCCGATCGTCGAACGCCAAAACTGGAACTCACGGCGAAACCTCTTTTTCGTCGTGTGGTAGCAGCGCTGTATCA